GCTGATTTTTTATAGATGGTTTCTTCACAAGACAATCGTATTCATTGAAGTTAGCTTGAGATTAATAACTCTGCTAGTAGCAGAATCCACTGTGAATAGATTCCATATATACTAATCAAATTTTCACATAAGCAACTGAATAAAATGAGTTTGATAAAAAAAATTAATTTTCTTTTTTACATTTATTTAGTTATTGAGAAGGCAAACTGTTGCCAATGATAGGTATTAGCCTAGAGAAAAAAGAATGGTATGGGATATCGTACCAAGATGCTAGGCTACGTTGACTGTATTGTTCTAAGAACACTTCTTACCAACGATGGTCTCCTCTTTTTCACAGGATGATATCTGTTTCTTTCTTATTCTACACATGTGAAATAAGTGAAGCAAACTCATTTACTAACGATATATTGGACAAAAATCAAGTGAAACTAAGATTTGTTGACGGACCTACCAAAAAATATGACTTTTTTTAGGAACATAATAGAAGACCCCCCTTTTAACTTATGAATGATAAGACAGAATAGAAGACCCCGGGTCTTCTAATGTGTCGATGGCTTTACTAAATACTGCCTATCTTTTAGAACTGATTATATAGTTATTTTATTTTATCAAATATCATTCAGTTTTTTCGTTTTCTTTTTTTATTATATAAAAGAGCATTTAGCAAAGCTTTTCTTCAAATCACGTTCACATAAAAAGATAATTTTTAATTTCTAAAGTGTCTTCTTCTTTGAATTTTTAGCAAATATATACACGCCAGTAGAGCACTAAGTGTAGAGTTTGCAATTTTGTTTCTTATGTGCACGCGATGGATAATGTAGAGACGATGTTATATGTCTTGAAAATGTAGAAAAGTGATTTGTCTATTATATTTTCTATTTGGGTTTGAATATTTTCTTGTGTATCTTCCTTCCGCAACAATATAAAATGAAAACAACACACCTGGTTCAAAATGAACTGAACACTACGCCACCCACAACATTTAAACACTAGAAGTACAATTATTTTATGACAAAGTATATTTTATCCTTCAAACAAAGTTCAAATTGAGTACATAATTTATAATTTAAATTTCAAAAAGATTTTTTTGATCGAAAAGTGAAAATAAATTTTCTCTTTCGTCCTTTAGAGCAGACTTCTTGATCTATGGTTTGATGCAAAACTTTTTTATATTTATCACTTATTTTGAAAAGAGGCTATCGACTAATAGAAATAGTACAGAGTAAAGAGATAGTCTCATTATACTAATGGCCACTCGTATAACTTTTTTCATACATTAACAGATGAAATTTCTAAAGAAATTTATTATGCTACGATAAAAACATCTTTCTCTTATATAAGTACCTAAATCTTTAAACCAAACATTTCTTTCTATTCTTGCCAAAGTCCACCAGAGTATAGATAATAAAATTTTATGTCTTCCTTTAAATAGTTTTTGGTCAATCATGTGCTGACGCACTCTCACGTAAAATCACATCCAAATGCGTCTAAACAGTATTTATTACCTGCGTACAAACGCGGTTCCATAAAAAATGCGTTAAGAAACGGCTCAGATCTCCATCTGACCGCGTCTTGATGCGTTCTATCTTAAACCGCATCCAAACGCGCTTGAAAAATTTTAATAAAACGCGTTTTCATGCAGTCTCGTAAAAAATCGTGTCCAGTCGCGATTCAAAATCTCCTACGACCGCGCCTAGATGCTTTTTTATTTTTGGTCGTGTTAAGACGCGAATAGAAATCGATTGTAATCTCGTCCGAACGCGGTTTCATTTACAATCGCGTCCAGATGCGTTTGAAAATTTTCTTCAGTTGCGTATAGACGCGACTGTAAACGAAACCGCGTTCAAACGCGGTGAAAATCGATTTTTACCACGTCTGAACGCGTTTTCATTTGCAATCGCTTCCAGATGCGTTTGAAAATTTTCTTCAGCTGCGTATAGACGCGATTGTAAATGAAAAACGCGTTCAGACGCGGTGAAAATCAATTTTTACCGCGTCCGAACGCGGCTTACAACGAAACTGCGATTACACGCGTGTATTCTGCGTCTGGTGTTTACATGGGCAAGAGAAGAATGAGGATGAATCACCGTTTTCCAACTATATGCCTGAGGCTGTTCATAAGGAATCTCACAGACAGAGAAAGCTCCAATAAACCTTTTTCACCTGTCTATGATGATCCATATCTGTTTATGCTTCTTTTCGGTTACCTAGTCTTTCTGAGAAACTCATTGTATTAAATCCTTCAAAGATTATAAGCTTGGCGCGCCCCATCAGAAACATATCCACAACTAACGACACATGGTTTGATATGATGTGAATGATCCAATCTTGCTAAAGGCATATGAAAGCAGTTCTAGATTGAAAAAGATATGCTTTACTGAGTACTGTCTTTTTGCGGTCTAGAACAGTCTTGCCATGGAGTTCTCTATCTCCGATGCGTTTTTCAAATTTTCCTAACTGAATCCTCGATCTACTCTATTGTTTGGAGGAAAATCTTATCTGAAAATCACAATTTTCATCACAAAAAACGAGATTTGAGAGCATTCAAGTGATTCATATGAAGAGTATGTAATGCTAAAATTTTTAGTGAAGATATCTCTCTCTAAGCGCTAACTTTAGAGAATATTTCACAATTCTATCTTGTTCCAATCATGAATTATAAGAGACGAAGATTGTTTAAAATATGAATTTTGCAATATTCGATGAGCCATAAAAAAATGACGAGTTTATAGTTGTGAGTTGAAAATACTATTCTGAGTACAACTCATTGAGTTATATGTCTGCAAAAAATTTCAACTCAATCGATCAAGCCATTTATGAGATATTGAATCCACAAGTCACCTATTTTTGGATAAGTATTTTTGCAGGATCCTCGAAAAAAAATTATAAAATATTGACGGTTCTAGATTTTTCAAAATGGGTTGCGTCAAAATTCCTAAAACTCTTTTCTCTGGGATATATTTTGAATCGAGTACTATCTCACAATCTCAACTAAGCAAGTTCGCTTGTAGGTTATGTAAAAGACTGTTGTGGGAAGTATTGATTGTACTGGACACATTCTAAAGTGACCACTAATCTCTCCTTATGGATGACTTTTAAAAATTTGGATTAGCCTATCGGATGCATTTTTCAACGCTAAAAAAATAAATTCTAATTTAAATCCCATTTGAAAGAAAGTTTAGAGTTGTGATGTGCATATAAAATCTAGAAAAATAATGAAAAATACAATAATTGACGCGGTAGTAGAATATCTTGTGTGGCTTAAATGAAAGTCTGGTGCTACTTTGATTTTCATCATTTTATACTCATTGATTAGCTCTTTCTTTGCTCTATCAAAATCCATAAAGAAACCTCTGCGCCTATTAGAATTGGCAGAGAAGTAGAGCTTACAATGAGAAAGAGAACAAGACAAAAAATGCGAAAAAAACCGTAGGGTTGATCTAGTTTTGAGGGTGTTGTACCTAGAAAATGGAGGATGAGGACAATATGACATATGCAGTTTTGTGAAGAAGAATTTGCTCTATCAAATGGTATATTATTCGAAAAGATTATGATAATTTATTGTGGAAATAATAACCAAATACTGACTTACCAAATTTTGTAAAAAAAAAAAAATATTTTTCAAAACGTGTTGAGGGTGCCTTCAGTGTATACTTCATAACTTTTTAGGGATAAGCTAGAATGAGCTAAAATTTTGAATTTATAGATTTCTCACTTTGCTCTTTCATTTCCAATTATAAAATATAGGGATCAAAATTTTCAAGAGTATGACCATGTTCGATGTTCTCATGGACCGTCTCTCTTAAGAAACAAATTTAACTAAAGTTTTATCCGAGGCTTCAACTTGATACCCTCCTATAAATACGAAAAGACATTTCAAAATTGAATTGAACTTGATATCTGACATGACAATGACTCCTTCTAACATTTCCTGTAGAAGAAGAAATAGAATGTCTTTTAATTGAACAATTTGTTCTGAGTCCGAGAACTTTTTGACTGTCCTATGTAATATAATCTTCTAATTGATTTTCTTTGTTCATTTTCATTAGATATAAAGTGGATATTACTCATTTAAATATTTATTTATGTACATTGATATCAAATAATTTTTTTTTTTTTTATGAGAAAATTATTTATTTAAGTATTAGCTGGACAAACAACGATGAGGAAAAGATTGAAAACAAGCATTTGTATCCATTAAAGCAGGTAGATGGATATGAAATAACTATTCGAAGGTATTTGTGGAAAGTTGTTTGAGGATGATATTCCTGTTGATCATATTGGAAATTTTATTCTCAGGTGCATGTCAATTACATTTTGGTTGATATCAATCTAATTCAAGTATGACAATAAGTGATTTATTGTTGATTTGAACAAAGTTTTTGTCAATAGGAATTTAATCCAACTGAAAATTTTAATTGGATAAGATATAGAAAAAAGAAAAAAACGGTACACTATCAACTGATACTGAACCAAATTCAAATAAGAAGATAAGAAAATTTTGCAAATGAAAATTATTTTGTTTGATTATTTAGATGCGAATAAATATACCTTATTATATTTATGTTGAAGCAAGTTATTCAGAAAAAAGAAAGTCATCTTAATGTAATAGTGAAGTAAGGGCGATTTCTCTCTCCATATACTTTCATTTACAACACTTCTACGTTTCGGTATAATTACTGTTTTTGTTTCCAGTATTTATATTTTTTCGACATTTTTACTGTCGGTGTTAGTAGGGTAAACCCTCAAAAACCAATTTTACTTGAAAACTTCGGAAAACATGCTGGAAAAAAACAAAAAAAAATCATAATTAGCATCCGGACGTCCAAATATGCCTAATCCCACTCCTCTTGTCCAGAAATGTTCGTTTTTTTACTGACTTCACCCTTCTCTCTTTGTCTAAACATCCATTTATGGATAGTCCTTATGCAATTGAAACTTAAACCATCTTCTTGAAGAATAAGGTTTGATTTCCTTAAATAAATCTTACACCTTCTTTATCACATGTCGGCAAATATAAAGTTTGTAATCATATATTTCCTAATGAAATTAAAGCATAACGAATCATTTGTTGTCTGTGAATTATATAAAATTCTCTCAAATTTCTTTTGTCGAGGTTTCCATTCTTGTTTTGTCGTACGTATATTTCCAATCATAGTCCATGTATTCGGTGAATTATGATTAATTTCTAGTACATCTTTAAACCAATGAGATGCACTATAAATTTGATCACGATCATGTACCGTAGAACCCAAACGACGTACACAATCAACATATTTTAAATGTTCACGTAAAATTTCTTTATATAATGTTTCAGTTTTATTAAATTCAAATGATGCTTCGCACACATGAGCTAAATTATAACGCATTGTAATAAGAATTGAATTAGCATAAGCTGGTTCAATTTAACGAGCTTGTTCAGATAATGTAATGAATCCATATTATTAAACACTTCTATTGGAATATCTTTTTCATGAAATTCACGAATTAAATTTGATGTATAGTCATATATAAGCATCCAATGAATTTAAAGAAATAGAAAAATATTTTATATCTAACAGAGTCAATTCTCAAATTATTTTTAGAAGAATATTCTAGGAAGTCAAAATTTCATATGCAATCATTCGTATATAACACTAACATTTTCAGACATCATGCCTTTGATACAATCTAAGATCGTTATCAGACGAAATTTACTTAGCTGAAGTAAAAACTCTCATCGATTCTTATGAATATTTTGTACTTTCTTTGATAATTTAAATATGAATGACGACAATTGTCTACATATACTAACAATGGAACGGTTTGTATTGATAAGCGAGTTGGATGACCATTTTGGGTGCAAATGGTCACCATCACTGAGAAACTAACAAATCTAAAATATGAGCTGCTGATGGCTACTCTGGACAGAGATATTCAATTTTTAAGTTCTGCATTAATTGAGTATAAAACGTGTTACAATATGAAATATTCACATCAGCTTTTAATATAATCATCAGATTTGTTAGGAATTGAGTTTCGAAAATCGAGAGGAGTCTTATTAACACCATTTAGGCTACTCTATATACGATCTCTTATGAATTTTAACAGTCTAGAATTAAAAAAAAAAAACAACTATTACGTTTGAATAGTGTTCATATATAAGATATGTGAAAATTAAGTGCATTAATGCATCGCTTAATAAATTCTTTTAGTGAGAAAGATATTCAGGGTCCAGCGAATGGTACATTAAAAGATATTCATGCATATGCAAAAGGTAAAATATTTTCTTAATTATTATTTTCATTATCAATGCTTACTGGTTTTTTAGAAAATACTGATCATGCCAATAGTTTTCATACTCAACAAATCTTACAATGTGAAGCTAAAACTTGGCAAGAAACATTATATAAATTTTATTTTCGTACTAATCGTCTCTATAAACAAATAAATTATTATGGTTGGCGTTTTGCTGAATTACATATTTTTAAATTAGTTCTACTTATAATGGTTCTTATATCTACACTTAAAGTAAATGAGAAATCCTTATTTTTTAAATAATAATAATATTCATGTGTTATTAGGTATGTGGATTTAATACAATATTAATTATTTTAGTAACAATTGGTTTAACATTCTTTCATCTTCGAAAATTAATAAATTTATTAACATTAAGTGCTACGGGTCTTTATATTCTTTTATCAATGTGTTATCAATTCGAAATAGTCAAACAACATATAATTGAAAAAAATTTTTTTATTAAAAATTCTTCTCATGTATAGAATAAAATTAAATGATTTTAAGTTTTTTTTTTCTATCTAGAATATCATTTAGATTGATTCAAATATGAGTTTAATACCAAATGATACGGCTAAATGGTTTGGTCTTGAATCCACACCAAATATTGATCGATTTATTGGTGTAAGAAAAAGATAATCTTGTTTAAAAAGATAAAAGAAAAAAGTTTTGGAATTTTTTTTTTTAGCTTTATATATTATTAACAATTTGTTTAACATTTGATGCAATAGAACGATATCGAAAAAAACATCGTCGTTTATTATTATCAGTTCGTTTTAATGTTCATCTTGTTGAAAATCGTTTTCCAATTTTATTTCAACCATTTGCATTAAAAACTATAAATGATGATAATACATATGAATTTGATATCGTTAATTATCAACAAGCTGATCAAGGAATTTATGATTTTTTGAAATATTTAGCAAATTTGATTTTTTATAGATTTGGTTTAGAGGTAAATCAAAAAAAAAACAAATTTATTTATATAACAAAAAAAAGATTTTATCTTTTTCTTTTTTGTTTTAGATATGTTATATAACAACAGTTATTGTTGTTGGTATTCGTCTAGATATGATAGCTGTACTTTATTCTATGTGGTTAGGATTATTTTTAATATCTAGTAGATGTATTGAACAGAATGAACTTCGATTTTATATAAAATTTATTGATAATGAAGAAAACTTCTCAGTTATAGGAAAAAAGATCATTTTACAATTATATGACCCCATAAAAAATATTCAATTTGATACTGTTGAAATGCATCTTATTGAAATATGTTTTATTGAAATAATTCATAATTGGTTTGTCTATTCTTGAAGAATTTATTATTTTTTTTATTTAAAATAAACAAATATTATTCTGTTTATAGGTTATGTCGTCAAGATGTATTTGACACGAATAGTAATAATAATATAATATCAACAAAGAAAAAACCATTAATTAATGAAGAAAATTCTTGGCAACATATTTTAACAAAATTTGTTTGTGAAACAAATGAAGAAAGTCCATTTGATTGTTCAAATTTAATTATTCGACAAGAACAACAATCATCGGAAATCTATATAAATTCAATAAAAAAATTTTATCATATTGGCCATATGAAGATGATGATAATAGTCAATGGATATATGATGAATATTTATCAACAATGTTTCATCACTTAATTCGTTTAACATCATTATGTTCAAAAAAAATCATTTAATAAATAAAGAAAAATTTGATTTTTGTTATTTACATGAATATTTAATACTTTCTTTACAAGGTATTGTTGCTGGTGATATACAAGGACAACAATATGGATGGGCTGATTTACAAATTATTGATGATCAACAATAAACGATTCTGGTTTGTTTTTTTAGTGTTTTTTGTTTCTTTATAATCGTAAATCGCTACTTTTCTTTTTTTGTCGATCAATTTATTTGTATCTTTTCATTTTGTATTACGGCTTGTTTAGTGTACTTCTGTTTTTGCATTCTTTTTTATTCGGATCTTATGAATTGATCCGATTAATCAAACAAAAACATTTAATTATTTTATTTTTCTCGTCTTATTAAATTATAGTAGCATTACTTTTATTTAATAATACGTTTTCTCCTCTCATTTTTAGAAGTTGCTGATTTTTGTTTCAGATTAGGTTAAAGTAGTTAAAATGAGTACAAATACAGCTATTACTGAAGAAGCAGCTTCAGTGTTCTCAGTCAAAAATAAATCTAATGAAAAGATTATTGATATGGTAAATTAAAATTTTTCAATGATAAAATTTTTTGAAGTTTTTTATAGTATCGTAAATATCAAACTGAACTTGATGAATTACAAAAACGTCCAGAACAGGAACTTAGTGAAGAAGATAAAAAAAGAAAAAATTAGTAGAAGGAATCATAAAATTTCTACAGCCACATTATGGTAAAAAAAAAGACTTTAGTAAAATCATATACTCTACAGAAATTTTCTTTCTAGAAAAAGCGATCAATTCTCAATAAGAATCAAAATCTAACACGTCGGAAAACAACAACAACAACAAACCAAAAGAAGATTAAATTTTAATGTTCTATTTTTTAACATAAATTGAATACAAGACATTCAACAACAAGAAAATAATACAAGATTTTATTTAGATTTTTTTGTACTTGTAACAAAAACATCATCGAATAAAAATACGAAAAAATTTACTAAATATCTATGTACATGAGAACTCTTGTAGGAATATTTTAGATTCTTTTACTTATTCTTTATTTAATTATTTTTACGAAGCTCTCGTGCCACTTTTACATTATACAACAGATTGTTGGTTTCAATAATAACTAATTTATTCCTTATAGGATTTCTTATAAATGAAACTAGCAATACTCTTGATCGGAACGGATTAAATAATATTAGTAATGAAAAGAACATAGGAATTAGGAAAAACTATTTAATATATTTTCTGGTTTAAACAAGATAAATATCAGATAATTTCTTTTCTCTTAGACAATGAAATAGTATATCAGGCTTTCGAGTTTTAATATTATTTTTGTAATACTAAAAAAAATAATCTTTATTTTTATCTACATTTATTGTAAATTTCAATACAAGAATTTGTCGAATGTTCACTCATTCATCCAGAAACAACTGGAAATTTATAACTTATGAAGATTATTTTGTGTACTACAAAAAGAACAATGTGAACAAATCAGAATTTATTGAAGTGCACCATATCTGTTATACTATAACCTAAAATTCCTACTACGTCATATAAGAAAATATTGTGTGCTAATGGTCAAAAACGGACGGTGAACATTTTGAAAAATTAGCATAAGAACCTACACTTGTACAAATAAGATTCAGGTCTGATTGACATGCGTTTGATTGTCCATATGTACCATTTTCAAATGCTTGTAATGCACAAACTAATTCATTCTAATAGGTAGTGGACGTAAACATGTAACGAGTGCCCCAGATTAAATGGCCGCGCTTTACATTTCAATTTTCATCCACTTAATATAGTGTATTAAAAAAACAAAATATACCTCAAGATGCAGCGTGAAAAGTTCTGCAATTTACATAAAACCATTTTTTTAAAGCTGTACATTTTGCTTTCAAAGTGGTCAAAATTTTGAGCGACGAAATTTTAACCGTGTGAAGACGACATTTTTTTGGCACAAGATGAATTCGTTTTTTCTTACTTCATCTTTTTATCATCTAACATCTTTCATTTAAAACATAACAAAATACACCATAAGCTGCAGTGTGAAAAGCTGCACAGTTTACAAATGGCAGCTAGTTCCACAATTGTATATTTTGTTTTCAAAATCGACAAAATTCTTAACGACTAGATTTCGATGCTGCGAAAAAGTCTTTTTTCAATACATGACCAATGTATTTTTTCTTATTTACCATCTAAAATGTTTTATTTAAAAAAGAATAAAATACACCACAAAATGCAGCGTGAAAAGCTCTACAATTTACACAATAAAGCTTATGGTAATTGTTTTCCAAAAAAGCAAAATTCTGTGCGACTAATTTTCACGCAGTCGAAATTTGCTCGCTCAAATTTTGGCCATTTTGAAAAACAATTACCATAAGCTTTATTATGTAAATTGTAGAGCTTTTCATGCTGCATCTTGTGGTTTTATTTTTTTAAAATACAATATATGTTATCGTCGTAAATCAAGTTCATATAACTATAAACGAATTGATGCATCACATTGATGTATCGGCTAATAAGGCAACATAAAATCTTATAGCACGACGATATTGTTTATTTTTTTTTTGACCTAAAATTCTTTCTTGAATAAGTA